TCTCTCTCTCTCTCTCTCTCTCTCTCTCTCTCTCTCTCTCTCTCTCTCTCTCTCTCTCTCTCTCTCTCTCTCTCTCTCTCTCTCTCTCCCCGTCTTTGTTTGTCTGCGTGTTCACGTGTTTGCCCTCCCAGCCGGCATCTTCTTCTTTCCCTTGTGCTTTTCTTTTCTTCCCTTCCTGGTTCTCTTGTTTCTTGCACTGGCCTGATCCGAACAACCCCACCAATGACATATGAGACCATTTCTTGATTTATGCATGCCATCCTTGAGTGTGCAGGGGTCATGCGAATCCTCTCTGTGTCGTACCAATTTTAAATTTTAATGGATACCTTGAAGGTCAGCCAACGAGATCTGAGAGGGAGGGCTCAGAGGTACTGTTGTGGAAATAAAAGAAAAAACTTCAAAAAAGAAAACGGATCACAGGAAATTGAAAAAAGAAATGTGGCAAATTTATAGCCTGATGATTCTGACACTATTTGACCAGCCCTTGTCAGTCTTTTGCCTTTTGTTTGCTTATCGATTTTCTTGGATAGATAACAGAACGGCATGCTGAGGGCATAAGGAAACTGCTGTCTGATCCAAGGGACGACAAGGTAAGCCCTCCTCTTCTTGCCCCTCCTTGTGAAAAGAACTTGAAGGGTCTAAAGTTACCTATTTCCTTTTTCCTTATCGCAGAGTCTCCCGTCTGCCAGTTACGAATTTCTTGGCATATCTCTGTTAGTGACACACACACATCTATGCATCAGGGTGAAAAAGGGTTACGGAGGTGACTACTTAAGACACACACAGGATTTTGTATAGCGAACATAAGGAGATACATGCAACACACATACTTAGGAGTGTATAGCAAACATGACAACACACGCACAAACACACACATGCACACCTCTTCCCGCCTTCTCTGAAAGAGATTCACTAAGGGAACAGACAAAATATAAGGTCCAGGTGTGCTGAAAACCAGATGATTGTGTGTATTGTATAAAGAAACATGGAAACTTTAGATGGGTAGCTAGATATAGAATCCCTAGATAGACCGGTAGCTATATAGACACCTTGTGCTGTGGACTGTAGAACTCTTCTTACATTTTTGTGGTTGATAGTGCTTGTTTGTTGTTGTTTGTGTTGTTGTTTGTGTTGTTGGTTGTACATTCCCTTTTCAGTTTTTTGTAGTTGATTGTGCTACCGTCGTCACCCGAAAATAACGCCCGGGCATTATATTCAACTTACCCTAAAAAGATCAGATTCTCGTTTTTACTCACATTTTTTCAAGTAGAACGCTCCTTCGAATATAACGCCCGGGAGTTATATTCGACTAGAACTCCCGGGCGTTATATTTGAATAGAACGCCCAGGCGTTATATTTGAATGTTCCGTGGGCAGATTGCCTTGTAGAGGTAGTATACATGGGTTTTGAAAGGCGGGAAGGGGGGGTATGCATGGGTTTTAAAGGGGATTGAAAGGGGTTTTGACTTCGAAGGGGGATGTTTTGGTTTGATTTTTTGTTTTCATTTTTTACTTACGAAGTTGCGAGTTTAAAAGGACTGTCCCCCAGCCCTTCCCTGGGACTGAGCTTCCACTTGGCTGGGACTGGACATGAGTCGACTCCCCTTCTGATGACCGCTAGGGACTCCTACTGTTCCTGCAGGCCTTATGCTATTCAATCTTTATTTTGGCCTCTGTGGTACCTATCGGAAAGTTCTTATTGCGGCCCTATGGCACAAAAGAAAATTGGACGCAGTACCAGGGCCATACTGCAGAGGCGTGTGAATACTTTCAACTAAATTAAACTTTTAAAAAATTTGGAAAAAGGAAAAAAAAAAAAAAAAAAAAGAAGAACAAAAAGGCATAATCAAGGAGAAGGACAAGGAAAAGAAACCTAGTGAAGTAATTACTATCAGAAAAACTCCCTGCGCCACTATCGAACTTTCATCTGTTCTTTACAGCCTTGTTTAGACTCAGTTCTTGTTTGACATTTACAATATGATAACTTTATAAACTTATAGTAGTGACTACTAATACTAGTCTAATAGAAGTATGCTAGGCTACAAGAGTGGCCAGGGACCACTTGCCCAGCCGGGCCAAAAAAAATAAATATTTGACGATATATAGTCAAACAGAGCTGCCCCGTAAACCGTAGGCAGAGAGGGAGAAGAGGACAACAAACGAGGGGCTGTGACAAACTTTTCGTCGGAGTTCCACCGACTCATCAGGAGGCTGAACACTCGAGAGTCTGCAGAATCCCCTAACTGATTACACTGTAAGTGATAATCCACCTTAACCCCGGCTGTGGTTAAGCATCAACGCCTGCCTGACAACTGATACCCTGAGGTGGGCCCCAACCACTGCCCTCAAGGTACCTGTGACGAAAATCAAAGCAGACTATCACTCACCCGCACCAGATGGAAAACTCCACAGACTGTCGGTTCACACCCCATCACAAGCAAGCAAAACACCCACGAAACAAAGAAAGGTCTGTCACAGCCAAAAAATACACTCCCGATGTGACCCTAATGCAAAAGTTGTTCAGTTTATTTTTCTGCATAACATTTTTTTTTTTTCAGATCTTTTGGATTTTTTTTATTTTTTTTTTTCTGATGGGACCTTCTTTGGTCTTTGCATCACTGGGCGGCCCGGGCAAACAAGGTGAGCCGGCGGGCCCGGATTGTAGCCTAATAGTATGTTTTTCATTTCTAATTTTTGTGGCCTCTTTTTTCGTCGCTTATGTGTTCTTTCTGTGTAAAAACAACTTTACAGCTCGCTGAAGATGCCCTTCTCTCTGTACGGCAGGTATTGAATCAAACTGCTCCGAAAACTCAAACTGCGCCGATGCTCCTAAAACTTGCAACTTTGCATTAAAGGATTTCATGCTGTATATGTGTCCCACTCCCAGTCCCAGAGTCCCAGTTGGTCCTGGTCCCAAGTAGACCGAAGTCCCAGGTCCTTAGGGTCCGTAGGTTCTGTAGGTCGATGCGTTGTAGGCCTGTAGAAGTCGGGCACTGAAGCGTTGTAGGTCGCTGGAGGTCCGCAGGTCCCCACAAGAAAAATCAAGTACCAAAGTCCAATTTTGCAGCGGCGTCCCAAGTACGACCAGGGGTCTTTCAGGACTCATCCAGAACATGCAGCAAACAGGCTGACACCTCTAGTACCGATCAGAAGCGGGCCGCAGGCAAGTCAACTACCCTATTTATAGCTGCTACAGTGGCAAGGCCGGGCAGTAGTTCAATCGCAAGTTGCGGAAGCGCTGATGGATACTTGTGCAATAGGCAACTTGTGCGATGTGCACCGAAGGAGGAAGGTGGGCGCTTGTGGTTTTCCATAGAGGAGGTGGTGGTGGCCATAGCTGCTGAAGTTGAAGACAAGTTCGGCCGGGTGTATCCAGGGTAGATTGTAGAGGGGATAGAAGAAAGAGAGAGAGAGAAGAGAGGTTGAG